AGTGCATATACAGGGCAGACAGTGTGTGAAACGGTATCAGATGAAAAACACAGTCTTATGGAATCAGTTCTGTACCATGGGGTGACTGTTGCCTTAGTTTGGCTGAGATGGAGGAGTCCCTAGGTTGAAGGGCATGCTGATGGACTTCTACATCATCCTTTATGTTTCTTAAAGGTAGGGTACTCATAGATTAGGTGGTACGCATTTACATATACAATAAAATTAGATCAGTTTTCACACAACAATCTTTTTAAAATGAGACTCATAGACTAATAATTTGTATAATTATTGTTAGTATTTAGTGCTTTTAATAAAAATGCTTTGTAGCACACAAATTCCTAAATAAAAATTTCGAGCCACGTTAGTTTTTTAAAACCATTTTTAGTCAAATTAGAAGACTTATTTCTGTAACAAATTACTGTGATGAGTTTGAATATTTATTAACTAAAAAGAAAACATTTCATTCTATCTTAATGGTCTTTTTCTGACACTCTAAGAAGTTTCTGGATTCTTTGATGTGTGAGTAGTATTTTAATATTTTAGCTAAAGCCAGAGTTCCTAGCTTATTAAAAAACAAAAAAGGTAACATACAAGATACTTGTGTAGAGTTATTTCACAGTCTTCATGTATTACACAACATATATCCCCAAAGTATAAAGATAACAAACTAGTGTGTGGTCCACTTAGTGCTCTAAGCTACGTGGCAAGAAGATCCTCACTTGATTGTACCCTACTTCCCATTAGCATCCATCACAGGTGGGGAGGACAGTTTATTGGCATGCTGTGTAATGTCCTCTCACCATATGTTCCTGGGAAATGTTTTGAACCCATGCTTTGTTCCCATGGTGTTTCAGCTTTGGTTTTGGAGTGCTTTTGCTTGTGTCTTAGATCTGTCCTCTGTTATAGTTGGTTTTCTGGTGCCTGTTCCTTTATACTGTGACATTTGTCAGTTGTCAGTGATCAAGGCATTCAGCTCATAAACCTAACTCACACATATCATCACTTGTATTGCTTCTCCCATCCTGAATCCTTGCTCTGTGCACTTTGTATATCTAGCTGCCTTTTTGGCACCCACTTGGATGTCTTAACAGATGTCTCACGCTTAACCTTCCTGAGCTCCTTGGAGTTCTCCTTGAACACAACTGCTCAGCTGACAGCATTTCTATTATGCAGGCGCGCGATTCCAACCACTTGAAGTCATCTTGATTCCTCCTCTTTTGTCTCCCATGTGGTCCCCTTGGAAATTCTGCTGCTGTACCTTGAAATTAGATTCAGAACTGACCGACCTTTCATTACCTCCACTGCTTCTGCCAGACCGTTCAGTAAACTCCATTTATATCCTTGTTCTTAGAATACTTTCAGAATAGGCAGTTGGAATATCATCAGATCATGCCAGTCCTTTTCCCCAAACCATTCATTGCTTCCCTAGTTCCTTTCAAAATACAACCAAAGCCTCAACAAGGCCATGCAAAGGCTTCCATAATTTGGCATCTTTTTACCAGGTGACTTCAGTGTTATATAACTTTTTACTTTCCTGATGCATCTAGCTTCAACAGTCACACTAGTTCCAAGACCCTTGGTACTGGCTTGTGTCCCAGTCCTTTATATTTACTTTTCATTCCTGTAGAACCCTGTCTGGTAGTTTTCTGGTTTGTTGAACACTTTCTTGCCTGAAGCCTTGATGTTCTGTATGCTCCTATTCTCTGCTTATTTATATTATAAACTATATAATATACTGTGAGTTATTACCTGTTTTATATGTTCTATATTTTCTCCACTAAAATTTAAATACAACTCTGACAGGATTTTACTTTGGGTGGTGTGTGAGTCAAACCCAGGGCCAGAGCTAGGCATAAATTGAACTACTGATGTGCAAACCTCAGCCCAGGACAGAATTTTTGCCTTATTTCATTTACTGCTAGTATCCTTTGGTGCTTAAAATGATATGTGTCTCTAGTTGTTACTCAGGAAATATTTATTGGATGTATGGATAGTACATATTTCAGGTCATTACTCACTGTGCCAAACTGAACAAGTTAGGATTAATTCCATGAGATAAGCTACCAAATGGTACAAACATGCTAAAAGGTGTAATGCTGATATTGTAATGCAATTATTGGAACAATACCTGAAGTTACTGTCTGTTAGAAATTTAGTTTTGAGGGGCTGGAGAGATGGCTCAGCGATTAAGCAATGTCTGTTTTTCCAGAAGTCCTGAGTTCAATTCCCAGCAACCACATGGTGACTCATAACCATCTATACCTGGATTTGCTGCCCTCTTCTGTCATGCAGGTGTACATGCAGATAGAGCACTCATATACATAAAATAAATACATAGATAAATCTTTAAAAAGAAAAGGAAAGAAATTAGTTTTGAGAGTGAACAGGGTAAGGAAAAGAAACTGCACAAAAGTTAGCACAGTATTGTTAGTCAGTAGAATTGGAGAATATAAACAAAGTGTGCAGTGACAGCTTATTAATAAACCTTTTACTACAAATAGAAGATGAGTTCTAAAAACCTTCAAATGATTAGGTTAGTAAAGCATTAGTGTGTGTATGTGAGTGCGCATGTGCACATGCGTACATGCTTGCTCTTGTATGTTTGTGTGTGATTAAAACTACAGTTTTTCTTGTGAAGTTACTGGTTAATCTAGGGAAAAATAAATAGTAATAAAAAAAAAAAAAGAATTTGCGACGATAATCCAAAATGGTATCCAGAATTTCTTTTTGTTTGTTTTGGGCAGCAGTTGTTTTAAGACAAAAGTAAATCTATGTTTTTCTCTAAAATTATTGTTATAGGAATATTTTTTAAAATAGATGTCTTTGAAGCATTTTAAAAGTTGGCTATAGTTGTTTCTGCCAGCTCCTTGGCTTCTCACAGTTTTTCAATGTTATTTATAGATTTATTATTATATGTAATTTTTTATATTATATTCTGATCCCAGAATTAAGTCATATTTAACTTTGAGCATATATTTCAAATTTTGTATCAGGAATCCAAGTGCAGTTTATCATGTGGTTGCAGCTTGTGAGGTTGCAGTTAAGAAGAGGGAGGGAATTTTGCTGTTATATCTATGAGATCTTCTTTAAGTTCACTTCCTGCTTCACCTCAGTGTTTACCTGGTAGGTCTCTTTGCAAGACTACCTCACAGAGGGCCATCTTAGAGATTTACCTTTGAGAAAACACTGTAAACGAGACAGTCTCAGAACAGGTCACCATCCTTTTGCCATTTTCTCTTCATGATTAGTGAGCTGGGAAATGTGGAGTGTGCTTGCCGCCCAGGAGCTGAGGCAGGAGGATCAAGGTTTCAGAACATTCTGGACACCACGTTATAAAACAAGCCTATACCTCCTGCCTCCAAAGTGAAACTAACAAAAGGAAACAGCATCAAAGGGATTGCTCACCAGAAAATAAAGAGCACTGGGTGTTTAGATTGTCTTCACAAGTACTTTTGCGTTTTTAATTTTTAAGGATTTTTTTTTAACTTTAAATTATATGTTTGCCTTTTCTGTGGGTATGTATATGTGTGAGTGCAGAGTCCAGAAGTGAATTCTCTGGAGCTGGAGTTACAGGTGGTTTTGAACACTTGTATCCCCGCATGTGGGTGCCAATAATTGAACTCAGGTCTGCTGGAAGAGCAGCAAGTGCGCTCTAAGCTGAGCCATCTCTCTATCCCCGATTCACAAACACTTTAACCTTTACCTCTTTAATCTCCTACCTCAAGTTTGTAATGAGGACCTGAGCACAATGAGTTTGTTGTCAGCAGAGCTGTATTTTGTGAAATTGAAGCCTGTTCATAGAAGAATAAGCATGGGTTGACATCTGAAGAAAATAAGTAGACATTAGAACATGGTATCCAGAACTGCTATCACTTTAGAAAAGTGACAGGTATGACCATTTCTCCAAGGAGATGACAGAAGCCTGAAGCAAACAGTTTACCTTGTGGTGGCATGGCCAAGTATAGTTCCTTCACTGTGCCCAGAAACAATCTAATCAGTGGGAAGTTTTTAGTTTTGGTATGTGAATTGCAGGATATCTGAGAGCTGTGTACCTACTAAGATAGCCTGAGTGATACTGTAGGTTAAAAGTTTATAGGTAGAGCTGATACTATAGGTTAAAGTTTCTAGGTAGAGATGATATATACTGTTGGTTAAAAGAGTTTCTAGGAGGAGGTCTGTAGCCTTTTTTCTGTTGATGTCAATTAAGTTCTTCATTTAAAGAACTGAGTCTTCTGCTTGGTATGGTGGAATCTAGGAGGTTGAGGAAAGAGACTGGGTTTGAAGCCAGCCTAGGTTACTTAGTTGGGGTTGGGCAGTATGGAATGTGTCTTTTGGCTTCCTAAAGTACTAGTATCTGTAGATTATGCTTCTCTTTACTAAGTCCTAAGAAAATTAAATCTGATTTTAAACTTATCCTTGGATTATTTGTGTGAAAATAATTTTCTCTTATTTTTGCCATTTGGTTAAAAAATGATCTGTTTTGTTGATGTCTTTGTAGAAACTGCATCATGCTTATCATATACTATTCTAAGACTAAATCTCTGTAGAGTGCTCTCATGGCGTGCATAACTAATGCTTAGTAGCACATGTGTGGTAGGTAGTGCTAAAGCTTCACATTTAAAAGGAAGGGTAAGTAACTTTCACCTCTCTTAGAGTTCTAAACCACCATATCGCTCCCAAGCCTTTTCTTGAGCTGTAATCAGAAGGAACTTTTGTCTTGAGTAATTGCAAATGTCTTTGGTGATTCTGTTTTTTCTTCTTACCTTCATTTCCCCAAATTAAAACAAATGTTTGGTATTGCCTAAGCGAAGGTTTTTTTTGACATTTAGAAGGAAATGTCTTATAAATTATGATGATTGAAACTAATGTGCATGCAGCTCCTACTCACAGACTAACACTGTTCCTCTTGTCCTCTTGTCTCCCTGCTGCTTCCGCCTGATGTTTGCTTCTCCCTGGTTTGGATTGTGTTTGTTTGCTGCTCAATTCCTCTGCATTAAAAGATTCTTGGTGATAGCAAAGATGTCCTTGGGCCATCAAGTAAGTAGCTAAAATGGGAATGTCATGATTTGGGGACAGGATAATATTTTGGTGTTACTTATAAATGACAAGTAGTTCAGTTTTTATTGTAGAAATGCTAAATGACCACTGTTCATGTGTTGTGAGTAGCAACATGAGAGCAGTCGTTCTTAACCTGTGGGGCTCGACCCCTTTGGGTCAAATGGCGCTTTCACCCATTGGAAAACACAGGTATTTACATTACAATTCATAACAGTAGCAAAATTACAGTTACGAAGTAGCAATGAAAATAAATTTTATGGTTGGAGTCAACACAACATGAGAAACTATTAGGAAGCATTAGGAAGGTTGAGAACTACTAAGTTAGAGGCCGAGTCATTATTTAGGACCTCCTTCACACAAGACCCTTGTACAGTCATCACAGGCATAAAGAGATTGTTTAAGGAATTCACTGTCTCTTGAAACTGAGAAAATGCTTTCATTTGTAAAATTTTAATAGAACAAATTGATTGTGATTTTTTGTTTGTATTTTAGAGGTCTTAAGAAAATGTTTTATCTTGAGATCTAGAAGATTGCCCTTTAAAATAAAATTATATCTAATTTAACACAATTTGCTGGTTTTGTTTTTGTTTTTCTAGATAGGGATGGACATTGCGTTAGCTTTTGAATAAGCACAACAAATAAAACATGTCACCTTGGAATTGTCTAGTCCCATCTAGACAGTGACAGGAGCAGTTGTCACATTAAACAAACATAGCAACACTGAACTGAAAAAAACTTCTGAGATCAGTTAATAAAATATTGATTTTTATAGATGAAAAGCCTGGAGCTTAAATATCCAGGAAGCTACATACAACTGACTACTCATCCACTAAATACTACTATCACTGATACAAAAAAGTGAGAGCAAAGTATTCTGGGTTGAATTAAGGTCTAACAAAGTGAAAAGTTTTATTCCATCATAAATTTCACAAATTTTGATTTGTATTGAATAACAACATAGGTAACTGATTTAGAAGTTTGCATTTATATATAATAGTTACCTCTGTTGCAAGCCATCTCTGCTCTGGGCCTCTTTTTCTTTTTGGGTTTCAAAGAAAGGAACTCAGCAAGATAGTAGCAAAAGTTTTTCATAATGAGTTTCTGTTATTGTTCTAAACAGAGGGCTAATTGGTGGCGTGAGTATGGTTACATAATTACATAAGGAAACCCATTATTTTTCACAAGTAATATATTTTAGTAAAAAGTAGAATTCGTATGATCTTTATTTTTTTCCTCTCAAGTACTGGTTAGAATATATATTTATGTTTTTATAAAAATAATATAAATTAATACACATTTTAAAAATAATCACAGCAGTTCTTATTATTTAAAATATGTTGCATATTACATTCACTATTATCAGATGGTGGCAAACGTAAAAGGAGAAGAACATAGCCGGGAACGGTGGTACATGCCTGGAATCCTAGCACATAAATCTTTTTTTAACTCAGTTTTTTTTTTCCAAGAATATTTTTAAATCTTAAAACCCTCTACAGATATTACTAAGTCCTATCACGACCTTAATCTCATAAAAGAAAGACAGAAATCTTCAGGACAGTCAGCTTGACATGCAGATTATTTAGGTGTTTTGTTGTGGCTTCCATGTAGCAGAAGGGCAAACATCAAAATTAGCAAAATTCTTAAAATGTTTATGACCTGAATTCAGAATCTGAGGAGGGTGGATAGAGTGTACCTGTTAACAGGAGCTGCAGAGTAGCTGTGTGCACTGTAAGTGGAACCAGTAGAGGCCACTGTAATGTCACCACTGGCAGGTGAATAACGTCAGAAACTATGCTGCGATGGTGATTCATTTTCCAAAAAGCTTTTCAGTTACTTAGCAAATATTTATCAGCTGTGTCACTGGATACACAAAACAAAGTCATTGTGCCTCCTAAGCTTCTGTCTAGATATCCCACTGTTGTGGACTTCCTGTAGGGCATTCAATGATTTGTATCATGAAGAGTTTTATGAGATGAGTGGAGACAAAACAAACAGGAAGATGGGCTCTCTGTAAAGCACTCTGAAAAGAAAAAAAAAAAAAAAAAGGCGGTTACCTGAGAGCTAGGCACGAAGGCACAGGCCTGTAATTCCAGTGTCAGGGAGGCAGACAGCAGGAGCATGTGAGCTCTGTCCAGCTTGGGTTCTGTAATGAGGCCATGTCTCCAAAAGTCGTATAAACTTGAGATTGGAAGGGCGTGAACTGACCTTTTCCCTATTGATGTAATAGAGCCACTTAGAACACAACCTGAGCAGTACCGGTTAAGTGCTGAAGCATGATGTAATCTCCTTCTTTTCTCTACCTTGTGGCACTCCCCAGACTTAATGACTATGTTGTATTGTTTTTAATCTTTTATATATTTTTTTGTTTAAAAGGATTTATTTTCAAATTTTAAACTTTTAAAATTACATATATCTCTCTAAGGTTTTAAATCTAGTATTCAGTTTGTGTGTGTGTGTGTGTGTGTGTGTGTGTGTGTGTGTGTGTGTGTGT